CATTATTGTAATAATTGTAATATAATGTCAATCCATTCTTGACTCGTACTGGAATTTAGAACTGGCAGGCGGACAGGTATTGGACGGTGATGTCATTTGTTACTCTTGAGCTTCGCTAAAGAATAGAACATTTTCGCTACTGGTAGTGCAATTTCAAGAAATTTTCGTCATGAAAGCAATCAAAATCATATCTATTTCTGTAATATAATCTTTCATTCTATCAAATGAGACCGAAAAAAAATGAGAATATAACCATAGCAACCTACAAAAATATACCGCTAAGCGGCCGCTAATGGCTGAGAAGTGGAACTCCACTATTTATGGTCTGATTTCTTTCATTTTTTGGTGTACGTGAAGAAGTATCTTTCATCATCCATTGTCCAAGTTTGAATAAGATAACCCAGCAAACAATTGAGAAAATAATAATAATAATAATAATAATATCTTTATTTACTACACGTACATGTACAAGGTATACAGGCCTAGCTGACATCAGTGACATACTACTGTATAGAAAGCCGCTTGTTATGCTGAGTATTTCAAGAAAATTAGGTCAGTGTCCCAGGATAACACCAACACTAGTCGACTAACACCCAGGTACCCATTTACTGATGGGTAAACATAGACAACAGGTGTAAAGAAACACGCCTAATGTTTCTACCCTGGCTGGGAATTGAATATTTACCAAAAATCATACATGGCTAACCCAAGCCAGTACTAAAAATAAGCCACGTTGACTTTTTTGGGGTTATCCTAGGTTCTCTACACATATGCTGCTATGTGTGATAATCTATAGAGAGAAAACTTTTTTGTTTCATGTTTATGGTGGAGTACGAGTGTATATCATAGTTAGCCCTGTGCTACACTCCGTTTTCTCTAATATAAGCCACCAAGACAAGGATAGGAGAATGGTATTTGTTTACCCATATCCTCTTCATAACTCTGTCGAACTGCTCAGTGTTATGCCAAATATTATTCATTCTGGAGTATTTAACATGTTTTATGTTATTTATATTGTTTCTTATGTCATATTAGATTAATTGTGATAGGCAAATAAGCTGTAGTGTTGATATTAGCATAATAATAAAGCAATTCTCCTGCATCATGAGACTGAGCTCATGACAACCGACAGTGGCTTCAAAGCCACTGTGTAGGTGCTTTACATAATGAGAAGAATTTCTTTTATTCACTGGAACCATGGCTAGGGCTAAAAGTAAGCAGGTTAAAACAATAAATGGAGAAAAAGAAATTGGAATGACTTATGCAGCAAGTAGCACCACCAAACAGTAGCAGCAGGTTGGTGTGGCGACCCTGGAAATTTTAAATTATGCTAGCCAAAATTAGTGCCAAATAACTGAAGGAACCGAATAACTGATTGCCGGATTTGTGAGGGAGGACTGTAGCTAAGAATTTGGTCGACTGGAATAATGTAATTGGCCTAAAATGGGAGTCAAAGTTGGCAAAATCGCTGATGTGTAATTATCGCTGACACATCAAAATTCACAAGAGCATAATTTCGTAAATTTTCCATCAAATTTCGTACTTTTTGTTTTATTACCTTCAGATAAAGATTCTCTACCATTTCATAAGAAAAAATAACAAATTTATTTTTTTTGAAAATTCTTGGACCCTGGTGCACACTTCGAAATTTGGCCTCTGGACCCTGAAAGGGTTAAGGCCAGCAAAGGCTGGTTCAAAAAATTCAAGAAGCGAAGTGGCATACACAGTGTTGTAAGGCATGGAGAGGCTGCAAGTTCAGACAATCATGCGGCTGAAAAATTCATGCATGAATTTAAGGTGTACGTAGAGGATGAAGGATTCCTCCCCCAACAAGTGTTCAGTTGTGAGGAAATAGGCCTCTTTTGGAAGAAAATGCCAAAGAGGACCTACATCACGCAGGAGGAAAAGGCACTGCCAGGACACAAGCCTATGAAAGATGGGTTAATTCTCTTGATCTCTGGTAATGCAAGTGGGGATTTAGAAGTGAAGCCTTTACCGGTGTATCAATCTGAAAATCCCAATGTTTTCAAGAAAAACAGTGTTGTCAAGAGTAAACTGTGTGTGATGTGGAAGGCTAACAATAAGGTATGGGTCACGAGGCAAATTTTCCTTGATTGGCTCAATGAAGTGTTTGGCCCGAGTGTGAAGAGATACCTCCTGAAAAATATTGCCACACAAGTGCCTCCTGGTAATGGACACTGCTCCTGCTCATCGTCCAGACTCGGATGACCAATTGTTGGAGGATTTTAGTTTCATCACAATGAAGTTCTTGCCCCCTAATACCACTTCCCTTATCCAGCCCGTGGACAAGCAGATCATTTCAAACTTCAAAAAACTCTACACCAAAGCACTGTTTCAAAGGTGCTTTGATATGACCTCAGACACTGAATTGACCCTAAGAGAGTTCTGGAAAGATCACTTAATATCCTCAGTTGCATAACTCTTACAGATAAGGCTTGGCAGGAAGTGACTTCCAGGACTTTGAACTCCGCTTGGAGAAAACTGTGGCCAGAATGAGTCCAAGAGAAGGGTTTCGAAGGGTTTGAGGCTGACCCTGTCGATCCTATACCTGTTGTGGAATCTATTGTGGCATTGGGGAATTCCATGGGGTTGGATGTGAGTGGCGAGGATGTGGAAGAGCTGCAAAACCTTTATCTGTAACAGTAACAGACCACAGCTGAGGAAATTGCTGCAGAGGGAGAGAGAGAGGGAAGGTGCCTTCTTCAGTGATTAAGGACATTTGTACAAAGTGGAGTGAGGTGCAAACGTTTGTGGAGGAACATCACCCTAACAAAGCTGTTGCAAGCCATGTCAGCAACATGTACAATGACAATGCCATGTCCCATTTTAGGCAAGTCTTAAAGAGACGCCAGAAACAGAGCTCTCTGGACAGATATTTTGTGTGACAGGGGTCCAGTGACTCTCAAGCTGGTCTTAGTGCCCTTAAAAAACAAAGAAGGGAAGTAACCCTGGATAAGGACTCGGTACATAAAGTCTTTACGGAAGGAGATTCCCTTTCCGAACAATAGTAACTTCTCCCTCTCCTCTCCTCTCCTCCTGTCTTCCATACACCAACAAGAGTTTTCAATAAAGGTAAGCGTGATGTCATTGCTGCATTACATGTATACTGATCTGTCATTTATTTCAGTGTGTAAATCTATATTTAATCTCTAAAAAACATATTTTTTGTTAATACTTCTGGGTGTCTGGAATGGATTAATTGGATTTACATTACATGTACAAGTACCACCCGACTTACGACCGAGCTTGGTTCCGACCAACTGGTCATAAGTCAAAATGGACCTAAGTCGAACCTTGGAAAATTGCCGACATACTGGGTAAGACAATGTCAAACCTTTGCTATATAAACTACCTACATAGTACTGTAATGTACAATCATTATATCGTTATCTTTACCATAATTTACTTCTGTTGATATATTTTAATCATTTATGTACTGTATATTATGTAGGCCTGGTCACAGACCGGGCCACGGGGGCGTTGACCCCCAGAACTCTCTCCAGGTAAACTCCAGGTATACATAGTAGTGAACTGTATTGTAAATTTACATCTCATACAGTATCATATGTTACTGTTATCTTGAAGTATTGTCGACACAGTGGAATGGGAGAATACCACTGGTAGTGTCATCCTGCCAGAATGTCCTATAACCTATGCCCTAAGTAAAGAGAAACAACTCTGGAATATGTGTAATACATATCCGGCTGGCTGGCTAGCAGGCCGGCTGGCCAGGTGAGTGGATGGTTGGCTGCCTGGTTGACTGAATTTGGCTCTCTCTCTATCTGTATCTGTCTCTCTCTCACAGGTACACATAAGTGAAGTTATCTTATATTGTATAAATTACCTAGGATAACCAAAAAATCCAGACAAAGTGCTATACAGTGGATCTGTGCTCCAGTGCCCCAAATTAATAATAATATTAATAAATTATTATTACATATTATTAATACAATAATACTTATGTACAAATATTAATATTATTATTATTAAACTATAATATAATACAGTGTTTACTCATTACTTACCTTAAAATATCTGTAGTCTTAATGTGGAGTGAGAGGTGAGTAAACAAGATTAAATGAATAAACGAGAGAGAGAATGAGAGTGTAGAAGATTCACGAGTTTTGTAAACAAACTAGTTGTTGTTGTTACCAGCCCGGACACGAATGGTTTTTGTTCACTCTGTCAAGCCGACTGGAAAAACATCTCGTATGTTAATTTATACGTTACATAGCATGTTTATTATATAATTTTGAAAAAAAAAAAAAACAGATGGATTAAGCAAAATGTCTATATTAACGTTTTATACACATTTAATGCGCCTCAGAGCGATTATTATTGTGTTATTATTACCATTATTAATATGGCATCTTCAAGACCAATAACACTCTTAATGATTTTAATGTGTACCTACACACCAGCACAGGTGCAAGATGTGGAGTTTAAAACAGTTAAGTTCATATTTTATTCATTCTAGAGTGTATATCAGGTTTTTTTTTTTTTCAACAGTCGGCCATCTCCCACAGAGGCAGGGGACCCAAAAATGAAAGAAAATCCCCAAAAAGAAAATACTTTCATCATCATTCAACACTTTCACCTCACTCACACATAATCACTGTTTTTGCAGAGGTGCTCAGAATACAACAACTTAGAAGTATGTACATACGTATAAAGATACACAACATATCCCTCCAAAATGCCCATATCCAAACCCCTCCATTAAAGTGCAGACATTGTACTTCCCATTTCCAGTACTCAAGTCCGGCTATATAAAATAACCGTTTCCCTGAATCCCTTCACTAAATATTACCCTGCTCACACTCCAACAGCTCGTCAGTTCCCAAATACCATTCGTCTCCATTCACTCCTATCTAACATGCTCATGCACGCTTGCTGGAAGTCCAAGCCCCTTGCCCACAAAACCTCCTTTATCCCCTCCCTCCAACCTTTTCGAGGACGACCCCTACCCCGCCTTCCTTCCCCTACAGATTTATATGCTCTCCCTGTCATTCTACTTTGATCCATTCTCTCTAAATGAATTGTGATAGATAAATAAGTCGTACAGCAATATTAGCATCATATTGAAGATGTGACGACTCTGCTTCGTGTGTAATACCTGTTGGTTCATAAGCGGCTCTGAGACAGAGACAAGCAGACAGACACACACACAGGTAGACAGAAAGACACACACACACAGGAAGACATAAAGACAGATAAACAGACAGACAGACAGACAGATATAGACAGAGACAGATATACAGGCAGACAGATACAAACAGGTTTATGTGCAACAGTGAAAACAAATAGAGTTCGAGAGTAAGAGCCTTTCTTGCCTTCTTGCCACAAACTCCAGTGCAAAATTCAGACTTCCTCTTAGGAGCCATGGTGAAATTCACTGTCCAGTTAGTACAGTTAATACAGTATGATGCTGCTGATAGGGCAGGGTAACTCAAACTGATGCTGCCTGCATGGCTCGTTGCTGCCACGAGTATTGTCAAATATTGTACAGTAGCATGCATCAACTGGGCTGCCAGAAGCACGGTCATAAGTCGAGTGGACGTATGTTGAGCAGGTTGTAAGTCGGACGGTAGGTGTATTTCTCGTGGGGAAAATGGTTTTGATTTTCGTGAATTTCAACTTTCGGCAGACTCTCTGGAACGGATTTAATCACGAAATTAGAGGGTCCACTGTATTTGAGTACTATTTCAGTACTTAATATTAGTGCCAGAACAAAGATTAGCTATGAAATCATTAAAACTACTACAAATTGTAATTATCAGAACATAAAATTATACAAATAAAAAAAATGAGAAAAAAAGGTACAGGTCTCCCCCAACATTCGCGTTTTCCACTTTTGCGGGCTTCAAACATTCGCGAATTCCCAGCCGCTCAATCATATTTAAAATATGTCATTACATATGTTAGGAATTGTGGTGGTAGCAGAATTTGTTTGGTGATAGGGCAAGATAGTCCTTCAATATGACACTAATATCAACTGTATGGCTTATTTTCTATCACAATTCATCTAATATGACACAATAAACAATATTAATAATATAGAAACATGACATATACTCTAGAATGAATAAAATATGTCATTAACCCTTTGACTGTTTCAGGCCCATCTCTGAAACTGTCATTCTATGTCGCTCAATTTTTGAAAAAAAAAAATTATTTTTTCTTTTGAAATGATAGAGAATCTTTTCCCGATGGTAATGACACCAAAAGTTCGAAATTTGGTCGAAAACTCGTGGAATTATGCTCCCGCGAAGTTAGCGGTCTCGGCGACATATGCGTATCGGCGATTTCGCCCGACTTTGAGCCCAATTTTCAGCCAATTCCATTGTTCCAGTTGACCAAACTCATAGCTATTTCTTTAGAACTCCATTTTATCTATCAGCTGAGTACAAGAAACCTCCCATTTACTAATTTGGACTACCCAATATGGTCAGAAATTGGCAATTTGGCCAATTTCACGCAAAATAAAAAAGATGCCAATTCAAAATAGGGTCCAGAATAAACAAGGTAGACATTTGTGGCACTAAAATAACATATGCTCTGTTCATTAGTCACATCTCTAGGCCCCTCTTATATTATTATTGCTTTCTATTTTGATTTTTTATTCATACAAAAAAATACAAAATTTACTGTTATGCAGACGACTGCATTATTGTAAAAATGGTATAAATAATATCAGTGCACTAGTGAAAGAATATTAGACTCCCCAGTTGACGTGTATTGGGACGTGTGGTGTGATTTATGTACTCTTGAACATTGGTAAAAATCGAACATTTCTGCTACTTTGAGCTCAGTTTCAAGGTCGTTTTCATCGTAAAAGTAATGAAAATCATCTCTATTTCTGTAATATGTTTTCCATTTTATCACCTAAGACCATGAAAACGCGAATACAACGATAAATACTATACGAAAATACACCTCAAAGTCGGCGTTTTATTCCAAAAAAACGATCAGAGTTTTTTTTTTTCTCATTACGCAATGTGTGCTGCAGGATTTTTTTTATGTGGTGCACACTGACCACACAGACCCATCTCTCACATGTGGGCCTACCACTTTCTCCCACTTGATTTGAAGCCGCTAGAATTATTGAGTATATATACGTCAGAAACATTGGCTCGTAAGACGTATTTATACGTCGAAAACAGTCAAAGGGTTAAGTATGTCATGAGTGTTGCCGTGTTGTTGGGTTAAAGGGCCACTGAAGCATAAGCTGTACATAATGGTGGTGAAGGTGGCAGAAGAGACAGTAGAGGCGGCAGTGTTGTCAGTCATCCTATATGACTCCAACAACATTGGAAGAGTTAGGTTCGTGCTGTCCTTTTCTATCGATTAATCGCTTAACTTACTGCTACAGTGTTACTGCTACACTTTATCGCTGGCTGGTGCTATAGCCTTTATCAACTTGTGCTGCTTTAGTATCATACACATTGTAGAATTATTGAATCACTGAAGAAGGTACATTCTCCCCTCTCATCTCCTCCACTTTGGTACTCTGTTACGAGTTCTTTCTTGAATTCAATAGTTTTTCTCACCTTCTTTACCAAAGGGCTGGCACTAGTACAATATTTTACGATGTTTTCATGTATTTTATGATTGTTCATGGTTCAATAGGTTAAGGAAGCAGAATTGTATTATATTTCCCTACAATATATTGGGGCACCAAACATTTGCGATTTTTCAACATTCGCAAGGTTTCTTGATCCCCTAACCTTCGCAAATGTTGAGGGAGACCTGTATATCAACAACACTTCTGCAAGCGGCAGCACTTCATGTTGCCATCAAGTGAGCGACAAGTGCCAACTTTGCGGCCTTATACGTGTATTTCCATAAGTACTGACTCTAATTTTTTTTTTACATTATGTAAAAAAATGTCTTCATTAAAAAAAAAAAAAAAAAGGCTTTTTTTTTTCTTTCAAAATATTCAGAGCGCTGGTCGAGAGAACGTAGATCTATGGTTGGACAGTTAAGGGTTAAACCAGTTCTATTCACAGACGACACTATGTCTACTCCCACTCAAACCCAGGTATACTTAGAGACACCATAGACAACAAGCTGCTAAAAATATATACTTGGATGATGATCAGCAAACTAACTCCAACATAGACAAAACATACTTCATGCTGATTGGAAACAGAGCCTTAAATATCCAACTTAATACATCGATAAATGGTTCCCCCATTACAAGACACACTGAGAGTAAATTTCCAGGTCTAGACCTTGGCTGTAATCTTAAATTTCGTTCCCACATCCAGCATATATCCAAGAAACTATCCAAATCAGTAGGCATCCTTTCCAAGATATGATACTATGTACCCCAAACAACATTCCTTACCCTATTAACACTTTTAATATATCCCTACCTTACCTATGGTATTTGTGCCTGGGGATCAACACAGTCAACCACCTTTATACCTTTAACCCCTTCAGGGTCCAAGGCCAAAATCTGAAGTGGTGCTCCAGTGTCCAAGAAATTTTGAAAAAAAAAAAAAATTATTTTTTCTTACAGAATTAAAGAGCATATTTTTGTGAAGGTAATAAGACAAAAAAAAAATTCTGATCAGTACTTACCGAGATACAGTGCCAAGAAGTTTGTCAAAAATGATGTGGTGGCGGCAACATCGACGAATTCCACATACGCGCATTACATTATTTTGCGGTTTTTGTTGTTTTTTTCTTTTTTTCCAATTTTTTTCTATTCCTACTAACATTTGGGGCCTGAGAGACCAATACTGTATATAATGTATATATATAAACTCACTGTATTGAACACAATAACCGCACTAAAGTTATTATCATATTACAGTGGACCCCCGCATACCGATTTTAAATCCGTGCAAGAGGGGTAATTGTTATGCGAAAATAATCGGTATGTGAATTAATTTTCCCCATAAGAAATAATGGAAATAAAATTAATCCGTGCAAGACACCCAAAAGTATGAAAAAAAAATTTTTTTTACCACATGAAATGTTAATTTTAGTACACACAAACTAAAAAAGGCATGCACAATTACCTGACACTTACTTTTATTGAAGATCTGGTGATGATTGATGGGATGGGAGGAGGGGAGAGAGAGTGTTAGTGTTTAGAAGGGGAATCCCCTTCCATTAAGACTTGAGGTGTCGAGTCCTTTTCTGGGGTTACTTCCCTTCTTCTTTTAATGCCACTAGGACCAGCTTCAGAGTCACTGGACTTCTTTCGCACAACATATCTGTCCATAGTGGCCTGTACCTCTCGTTCCTTTATGACTTCCCTAAAGTGTTTCACAACATTGTCAGTGTAATAATCACCAGCACGGCTTGCAATAGCTGTGTGAGGGTGATTTTCATCAAAAAAGGTTTGCACTTCAAGCCACTTTGCACACATTTCCTTAATCTTTGTAGTAGGCAACTTCTTCAATTTCTCTCTCCCCTCCTCTGAAACCAGTTTTCTCAGGTCTGGCCTCTTGCTCTTGAAGTTGATCTATCAGCTCATCAGTGGTTAGTTCTTCATTGTCCTCCTCCACCAACTCTTCCACATCCTCCCCACTAACCTCCAACCCCAAGGACTTTCCCAATGCCACAATGGATTCCTCAACTGGCATAATCCTCTCGGGGTTAGCCTCAAACCCTTCAAAATCCCTTTTGTCTACACATTCTGGCCACAGTTTCTTCCAAGCAGAGTTCAAGGTCTTCTTAGTCACTCCTTCCCAAGCCTTACCTATAAGGTTTACACAATTGAGGATATTAAAGTGCTCTCTCCAAAACTCTCTTAGAGTCAGTTGAGTTTCTGAGGTCACTACAAAGCACCTTTCAAACAGAGCTTTTGTGTACAGTTTTTTGAAGTTTGCAATAACCTGCTGGTCCATGGGCTGCAGGAGAGGAGTGGTATTAGGAGGCAAAAACTTCACCTTAATGAAGCTCATGTCCCCATAAAGTCGCTCTGCCACGTCTGTAGGATGACCAGGGCATTGTCTAACACCAGGAGGCACTTAAGTTCTAATTTCTTTTCAGTTAGGTAATCTTTCACATTGGGGCAAATGCATGGTGTAACCAGTTATAGAAAAAGTCCCTAGTGACCCATGCCTTACTGTTTGCCCTCCACAGCACACACAAATTCTCCTTGAGGACATTCTTTTGCCTGAACGCTCTGGGAGTTTTTAGAGTGATACACTAATAAAGGCTTAACTTTGCAATCACCACTAGCATTGGAACACATCAACAAAGTAAGCCTGTCTTTCATAGGCTTATGTCCTGGGAGTGCCTTTTCCTCCTGAGTAATGTAGGTCCTGCTGGCATTTTCTTCCAAAACAGGCCTGTTTCATCACAATTAAACACTTGTTCAGGTTTCAGTCCTTCAGTCTCTATGTACTCCTTGAATTCATAGCACATATTTTCAGCCGCTTTGTGGTCCGAACTGGCAGCCTCACCATGCCTTATCACACCATGTATGCCACTACGCTTCTTAAATCTCTCAAACCAACCTTTGCTGGCCTTAATTCACTCACATCAGCACTAGTTGCAGGCATTTTTTTTAATTAAATCCTGATGCAACTTCCTAGCCTTTTCGCTTATGATCGCTTGAGAGATGCTATCTCCTGCTAGCTGTTTTTCATTTATCCACACCAATAAGTCTCTCAACATCTTCCATCACTTGC